TCTATCGGGAAAGCCCTTCCTGCGATGACGTCACAACGGTGTGATGACTAAGCCCCGCCCCCCTCTTTAATGAGGATGTCTGTCGAGCAGGGCCTGCGTCCTTCTCATTCTGCTCTCGTTCCTTCCCCCTCGTTGAGAGTCGATGGAATTCTTTCTGCCTTCTCCGCGCAGGTGGGAACGGACGGCACTGAAAGGTTTCTCATCCGGCTCCGCAGATTCCACATCGGATTATTGCCTTTGCCCGGTGCCTCACGAAGCAGTGGGGTTACAGTCTTACAACGAGCGAAGCCGATTTGACCGGTCTCCTGGAAGTAACCGGTCTCCTGGAAGTGACCGGTTTGCTGGAAGTGACCGGTCTCCTCCCTTTCATAAAAATGGTCGATGGTGAGAAAACGTTACTTATTTTGTGACGTCTTTGCATGTCCGGGAGTAAAATCAAGGGCAAAGCAAAAGGCGACAGCGAAAGGTAAACCTCAGGAATTAATTTTGGAAAAAAAAAGCAAAAAAATGCCGTGAAGCAAAAATGCCACCCAAGTAACTTTTCTTGCTGAAAAATAAATTTCACGTCGAGGCTCGAAGTTGCTTCATGATCTGAAATCGAGTCAAATTAATGTCACGATTTCCCTAAAATGATTCAAATGCATCTTAAATTAGCCGAAGCGAAATGATGAGCCAAAACTTGCACCTAAGTAATCATCGTGATTATTAAAAGTTTTCATATTATTCTGCATCTGAGTGTGAAATTTGAGCGCATTGGACCCGCGTAACTCATTAGTGTGCCAAAAAAAAAACCTTCTCGGTCGAAGGGCTTGACAGAAGTGGCACGAGAATCTTCTGCTGGTTTTGAGTTAATTATATTTCAAGCCGATAGGATTAAAGTCTATTTTGATCGTACGTAATAGAGCATGAATTTCTAAAAGCGCATTTCACTGATTTCTATTAGGCGAATGTTTTTAACATCTGAGAAGAACATTTTTTCTTTTAGTTTTATATATATTTAAAAAATTCTGTTTGGCTGTTAGCAACCTCGAGCAGGAACTGACAATGGTTTAATAGTTTCCTGCTCGTTCTTAACGAAAAAGACAGCGGGCCGATTCGGTGGTGAACCGATTCGGTTACCTCAACCAGAGGTAACTTTTCCCGGAACTAAGAACGAAATGTACGTGCCAGAGCATTCGCGAAGTTATGGCGCTTGCATCCGGGTTAAAAGAAATACTGCATCGTGAACGCCTCAATTTTAAAGATGCAGCAGGCATTTTAAAGAGCTGACATGAAGCCCATTTCACGTCAAGATGAAAAGTGAGGATCAGGTGTGTCTCCTGAGAGGTTCGCGTCCCCGTCGCCCGTTCCACGCAGGACGCTCCGTTTCCGTGGTCAATTTCCGACTGCTCATCAATAATTTCTCTGGCCTTTCTCCGACGGAACAAGCAAGCATGCAATTTTAAAACGGTGTCGGGAACACGTCAGCCCATGCATAATACAAGTTTCATGGACGCTAAGAGACAATATTTAAAGGTTTAAAGTCGGAGGCCTCTTTTATGCTTCACCCTGCAGGCTTTCACAGCGATGAAAAACTCTTTGCATCTTGCACGATGCTCCCTCCATTTTTTTTTTACACCTTTTAAATCGAATCGAAACCGTGTAACAGCACGCGCAGCAAATACTTGAGGGAGGACAGAAGTTCAATCGAAATTTGGTTCGGTTTGGAACGTGCTCCAGTCTGGGAAAATAGCAAAGTGCTTCCGTTGCGAGCAAGTTTTGGTTCGAGTTCAGTGCTCCCATGATCATTTCCGTAAATAAATTTTCCGAGGAAAGAATTGAAGGTTTCCTTGGGATTCCGGAAGGGGTGGGGATTTCGTGTAATTCTCGCCTCGTCGTGCCTGCCGTTTCCCCTCTCCAAAATGTGTGACGCATCGAGAAATCCACGCTGGCTTCTTCAAAACATCCGTTGAGATATAATAGAGTAGAGCTAGAGGCTCCTGACACATCGCTTCCTCCCCCTCCCCCTCCCCCCCCCATCTAAATCCTCCCCCCTGTGACGTCAGCCAGCGCGAGTGACTTCTAACCGCGGGAGACTCAATTCTGCCTTCACCGCCGGGGTCCTTTAACGTCCCACATCCAGAGATGGGAGCGGCTTCGTGCTTAGGGGTTACCCATTCACAAGCACGCGAGGGCTTGCCTGACTCGGTCAGGTTCGAATCCGAGTTCGCACGGGAGCCGAGCTCGTTACCAATCGAGTCACCATAACGTCACGCGAATGATGACGTTTTTCATCAATTCGCCAAAGCATTGATAGATGGAAGCACAAACTGAAGAAAGAGATAGGGCCGTCTGCTTCAACTCCATTCTCTTCTTGGATATTTTAACACGAATTTCTCGACCTCTATTCGCCGCGTTACTGCGCATCACCATCTTTGGTAATTAATTGTTCGAAAAACATCTGCTAGTGAGCCCGCTCGGATTTGAAAACGACAAGGCGAATGTCCAACAAAAAGGACTGTCAGGCGAAAGTTGTGAAGTCATACCTATGAAATTTGTCATGGCGCTAGAAATAGTATCCAATACTTCACCCGTCACCCTGCATGGGGTTACGAGGAAGAGGTAGTCAGGTTTTCGTACATCTGCCTTCAGAGACGACTATGAAAAATTTATCTCCCAGGAGTTTTATATTCTCCTCTGACCTTTAACCCTTTTAGTGGCAGAGTTTATTAGATCGACGCAACGAATTTCATTTAAAAACGCCAGAGTCGAAGAACCGACAATAAACGGGTTAAAGTGAGAGGATAAACACGATCAAGCGCTCTGACGGAATGCATTTCTTAATCCTTTTATTGCCAGCTCTTCTAAACAAAATTCGTAGCGCCGATCTAATCGACTCTGGCACTATAAGGGTTGAAGATTTCGTTGAGTTCAGGAACCATGCAATATTCTGTCACGTTTTCCCGTGGATGCCCTTTCCTTGCATACTATCACTAGCTGCCTCCTCATATCGAGTGGGGAATGATTCACGATGTAGGGGATACCTTATCGCCTTGTTAGGTCTACGAATGGTAGAGCTTTATCCTCCTTGTATTAAAGGCCAGTAAGACATTTCCAACCGGCCAGGTGTGGGAGGGCTTTCTCGACACTGATGCCAATTCGCAAATTCTATAAGCTAGGTCTATTAGTGTCATGCACCTGCCCAGCAGTCACAGGGTGGTGATAGTGTCGTATGGATCTTGAGCCTCGTAAGCTCGACGAGGAGGCTGTGGGACAGCCGAGTCCAGCACTTGCGGAGAGACTGCAACGTAAGTCTACGTTTCGATTAGGGAGTTCATCGCCTCTGCTGATGAAGGGATACGACTAGCAGGTTTAGTCAGGAATGCATAGATAACCATCATCTGTCCTGGCTATTCTTGACATCGTGAGGAGACCTTCAGTTCAAAGTTGAAGTTCTGTATAAGTGATGCTTTAAAACTTCAAATGTGAAAATACGGGAGTGTGGGTACCATGCAGAATGCATAGCAACAAGAATGTGGTGCTGAAAGGTTTTCCTAAATGTCTTCGAGGGGCCACTAAAGTACCAGAGTCCTTTTCTGAGAATAAAGAAGGATCAAAATTTAGAGACTTACAAAGATTTGTTACCAAGGAATGTGATACATGTTACAATGGTATGTACGAGGTCTGGCAATAAAGTTCCAGGACTGATTTTTTTGTGAGTCTGTCAATATCACAAAAATTATTTTCATTCCATGGACTGATAGATTAGACTGTTGGGCAGTGTTGTGTCAGCCCTCATCTGACTAGCATCTTGAATGAGAGTTTGGCTGGCAATGTAGCAGCTCAGTGTGTAAGGCGTCTGTCATATTCCCAGAGTGAAGCAATGCTTCATCACATTTTGTCTCAATCCGAGAATACAGCTCCAGCGATTCATCAAATGTTGCAAGAAGTGTCTTGACAAGTCGTCTCGTTATACTCCAAGAATCTTGAATAGTTTTCAAGGCTTTCAGCCAGTAGAAATGACATTGAAAATAATGACTGATTCTGATGCCTTACTTGCTGAAGGCCTTGAAGGTCATTCAAAATTATTGGAGCATAACAAGGAACATTTCAAGACACTTCAGCAACGTTTCATGGATTACTGCAGCTGTATTGATCGGTTTGAGACAAAATTCGATGAAGCATTGCTTCACTCTGGGAATATGACAGATGCCTTACACACTGAGCTGCTACATTGCCAGCCAAACTCTCATTCAAGATGCTAGTCAGATGAGGGCTGACACAACACTGCCCTACAGTCTAATCTATCAGTTCATGGAATGAAAATAATTTTTGTAATATTGACAGACTCACAAAAAAATCAGTCCTGGAACTTTATTGCCAGACCTCATATGCTACATTATTTCATATTTGAATTGTAATGATTTCTCCACTATAATTCATGACAGATTGTGGTTACTTTCTGGATAGAGCCCTTCCAAGTTTTTTCAGCAACTCTTGTAAAAGCATGTGAAAGAACAATAAGAATACTGATATTACATGTTTAGCAGAGCTTGGAATAGGCATAGCTGGCAAATTCCTAATGTGAAAAAAAGCATAGACCTAGCTATTTTGCATTTGCAGGAGCCTTAGCTCCCTCCTGTGAAGAAAGCGTGCTCATAGTAGGTATTCTTTAAACAAAAACTCAAAACATTTGTGCTGAGGATTTTATAATAGACTTTCTTTGGAATATGAGTTTCACCAAGTGAAATACCACAAGTGCACTCACAGGTAATGTTGGTCAGGACATAGGAATACACAGTTCTTGTTGAATCTTCTCTAGCTAAAACTCATTTACAAACTTGTTATAAGCATGAAAGAAAAGAAAAGCATGATAAAATAAAAGTATATGAAAGAAAAGCATAAGAGTCAGGGATAACAGTAACATGTCTCAAGTTGATAGAGTTTGGTTCATAACTGCAGGCAATTCTGGTTTGAGTATTGCAGTAAAAAAAAACACAGCACTGAAGGCATGATCACTGATGATGGACGATGAACAGTTGGTCCCTGTTGCATGGCTACATCATGGGATCAGAGAAATCGGCATTGTGCTTCTGCTGCTGCTGGTTCCACATGGAGGCATAGAGACCTCTTCGGTTTAGCAGCTCCTCGTGCCTAAAAGAACAAGAACATCAAGAAGGATGTTGTTACCATAGTACAGGTTTTAATAGCACACAAGGGACACACCTTCCACGTTCCATGATCTGTCCATTCTCCAGAACAAGAATCTGATCGGCATGGATGATGGTTGATAGACGATGAGCAACAATGATGGTAGTTCGATTTGCACACAGATTATCCAATGCACTCTACAGGATCAAACCAGACTTTCCTGAATGGAATCTTGGAAAATAAATATTCAAGGAGTTTTTGGCAAAAGGCAAGACCTGGATATTCCTCTCAGACTGGGTATCAAGAGCAGAGGTAGCTTCATCTAGGAAGATGAATGCTGGGGCCTTAAGGATCATACGAGCAATAGCCACTCGTTGCTTCTCTCCTCCACTCAACTTCAATCCTCTCTCTCCCACCTCAAAAGAGTACAAGGCACAAGCCACTACTGTAACAACCATGAATATAAACTTATATTATTATATTTCCTCAGTGCTAATGAAGGACCATGTGACTGATAGCCCTGACGTCAGGGTCAGGGCTATCAGTCACATGGCATCATCTTCAGTGATATTTCAGCAACATAAGAAGGAACCATAATTTTTTGGCTTCATTTTCTATGCAGTGGATTTGACAACAGAAAAAAACCCAAATTTGTACAGCACAGCATTTACCCTTTCTGACTGACAATTAATTTACATGTAACCTTCAGTGATGAGTGATCATGGGCATGACCAGATAATGTTAGTGAATCATTACACCAAGTTGGTTGCTTATTTTGTGCTGCATTTTTTTTAAACATTTATTCAGCTTAATGGACATGAAATATGCATAAGGAAATGACTGAAGTTGAATTGAGGAAAATAAGAATTTACCCAAGCAGCATGAAATGAATTATCTCATTGGAGAAAAACAAAACAATCTTCAAGCACAAATAGATGACAGCTAAAAATTACTTCACAAAAAGATTCTTCAGATTGTGGGAATCAGGAGATTCATGTGACATTCATAAGAGAGGATATGACACTGAAGATTAGATAGTCTCATGCTTCAAGATACACAAGGATGGCACTGGTGCCATTTTTTCTCTATCCACCATGCTCTCTTTTAGCAAAATGAACTAATTTAAACTTGTTTCAAACCACAGCAATACTTTCTTGACTCAATGTACTAAACCATGTCAGAAAACATAAAAGAATGACAGTATCACAAAGCCTCACCATCTGAGCATGCAATACAGGATTGAATAAAGAAATTTATACATTTTTTTTGCGTGTGCATTGGTGCAGACAAAACTTCAAAATTTTCTGCACTGTATGTAGACAGTGGAAGGTTCAGTTCTGCAGATTTGTGCCAGAGGGATTTCCACAAACTCTGTTCAAATGCATTCTGCTCACTTTGCACTGATTCTTGGTCTTGCAGAACACAGCCTGTCACAGACTGATCCTGTGTCTTTAAATTTCTTCATCCAACACCATATTGCATGCTCAGATGGCAGGGGTTTGTGATACTCCAGCTGAAATTTTCATCTGACTAACATAAAAGACCAGCTCTGCAAGCCCCAACACACAATTCACCTTCTTCTCAGTGATTGCCATATTCAAATAATCCTAACCGAACAAATTATTACCTGCTGCTGTTTTCAAGATATTACACTGCAAAACCCAACCCAGACTCTTTGGTCACCCTGTATAGATGAACTTACCATAGTCTCATACTGATCTGGAAATGTGAGGATGCGTTCATGGATGTCAGCTCCCTTGGCAGCAGCCTCAACTTCTTCATCAGAAGCAGATGGCTTCCCATATCGGATGTTATACCGGATGGTGTCATTGAAGAGGACAGTATCCTGGGGAACAACCCCAATAGCACGTCGGAGGGATCTTTGTGTCACCTCCCTCACATCCTGGCCATCAAATTGAATTTCACCTTCTTGGACATCATAGAAGCGGTACAGTAAGCGGATGATTGTTGATTTTCCACTTCCTGATGGTCCCACCTGTTCCAGTTTACATATGAAACAGGCATTGTCCTCTTCCACTTGAGTTTTCTCAAGATTTCTATGAGAATTCTAATATAGCCTTCTGGCTTTATGAAACCAAGCTTACTAATGCAACTGTCTCTCCAGGGCCAACTGAAAATGTGATGCCATGGAGAATGGATTTTTCAGGCTGATATCGGAAGGAGACATTTTTAATGTGTATGGTTCCTTGCTTCACCACCAGGTCCCTAGCATCAGGTGCATCTTGAATCTCCAGTTTCTCTGACAGAAGGTCAACCATGTTCTCCATGTCAATGAATGACTTCTGAATCACCCTGTGATATATGAAATAGGGTTTGGTCATTGGTGCATGCAATTTGCTCTAAAAATAGAGACATGAGAGAGCTGAGTTGAGAGAGCTGACCTGTAGTAGCTACCAAAAAAATTGAGTGGAGCATAAAGTTGCAGGATATACCCTGTAGGCTGAGAAGAGGGCAAAATCACCAATGGTGAGATCCTGACCTGTGATGACCAGATGTGCACAAAACAGGGATCCAGATAGCAACCCTGCACTAATAAAAAAATTCTGGCTCAGATTCAATAGGTTCAGGGATGCATTGGACTTCCACTCCTCCCACTGTGAATGCATGTAGAAAATCAAAATTATCATCTCAGTGACCAGGTGAATAATACATGAAACAAGAAAAGTGTGGAATGCAAGAATCAAGTGAAGAGAATAACTTGGTATTAGTGAAATGAACCTGATAGTTGAGGATGGTCTTGCGATAACGGTCTACCTCAAACTCCTCGCCATTATAATACTTGACAGTCTCAAAGTTTAGGATGGAATCTACAGCCCTGGCCTCAGCTCTATTGTCTGCCTCATTCATCAATCTCCGGAACTTGGTTCTCCACTCTGTCACTCCTATTGTCACCACTTTCAAGAGATAATTCATTTTAAAAAAAGTCCAAATGATTTCCAATTAAAGGAATTGCAAAAAGCCAAAAAGCAGAAAGAACTGTTAGATCAGAGAGGAAAAAGCCAGAAACCCAGGTAAAGCCCCATGGTGATGAAGACTATGAGGCCAAACCAAGCATTGAAGGAAGAGGTGAAATAAACAATGGCGATGACAATGTCAGCCACAGTGGGGAGGATGTTGAAGAGGATGTCAAACAAGAGAGACGTGATACTGGTTGTCCCACGATCCACAATTCTCAGAATTTCCCCTATTTTGCGACCCATGTGCCAGCGAAGGCTCAGGTTGTGGATGTGAGAAAACAACTGCACCTGCAACCCCCAAAAAATAATAAAACCATAGAGGATAAATACTCTTATAAGTTGGATCAAAACAGAATCTCTATGGATGAGAGATTACATGTGACTTAGCCTACCTGCACCTCTCAATAAGTGTATTGCTGAACTTTGATCCAAAGAAAACTCCTGAGATTGTTCAAAAGTCCAATTCCTCCAGTTCCACCCTGAAGAAACTTCAGGCCACAGTAGACAAGCACATAATCCCACCTGAATTCAAGCTTCCCATCTACTGGGTAGGATAGACTGTTAACTGCAAAGAAACAGGAATGTTAATTAACTGATGGCATCAGGTGACACAGTACCAAGCAAATATATAAAGAAACTTACTGATAAGTTTATTGTAGATGGGCATGAAGAGATTGCAGACATGCCCAAGGACAAGGAGGCTAAGACTGAAGAGAACAACAAGTTGCAGAAGCCAATGTTTCTTGGGCCATAAATAAGGGAAGAGGAGTTGAAGTCGATTCAACAAGGACCTGCGAATCCCCACATCGGGCTAATAATGGCAACAAACCATTAAAAGATGTAAGTCAGCAACACAATTATAGGTGTCATTTTGAATAGCAAAATAAGCCAGAACACACAAGAGCTAATACAGGTTAATGGATATTTTTTCATCTCTAATGGCCAGAGAAGGGGTGCTTAGTCCCCCTAGTGGGAAAACAATTTTTCAGCTGAATATTTCAAAGGAGTACACTACTCACCCATGTCAACCACTGACAAGGGATTACTAAGGTGTAAAAAAATTGGTATTTCTCAGGTGAACATGACAGTTATTTCAATGTTGGGCCAGGTTGATCTTACTGAAAGCAGGTGTGTCACCTTTCAGGGAGAGGAAGCCATTGCCACTTAACCCAGATCCTAAACTACCTTAGTTTTGAAGTTGGAAAGTTGGAAGCACTATCCATTCAGCAATGAAATTGGTCAAGTTGATTATGAACTAAATACAAGATTTTGAAATAACTTCCAGGTGCCCAGAGATGCCAAGACATGAGAAAAAACTCATGGATGAGCATGTCTAAATCCTACCATATCTCAAGAGAAGCTGTGCTCATCTGGATGATATGTCAAACTGCACTTTTGGGAAACCTTTGAAAAAGTTTGGGAGCTTGCAGACATTCATGCCTTCACATTCTAGATCTCCAGTGCATTTGTCGATGAGGTAAAAAGAAATGTTCTTCATGTAGCAGCACATGGACAAACAGAGGCATATAAAAGGTTTAATACAATTGCTGACAAGGCATAGAAGGAGTTGAATAAATGTGGGGAAGGAGAATGTGATGAGTTGGGTTGAGAAAGGGATGTTGAGTTGATTCAGTCTTGTGGAGAGGATGAATCAGTGAGCAATTGACAAAGCAAGTGAATGATGCTGTCATGGATGGATGGAAGGGTAGAGTTCAGCCAAGGCAGACTTGCCTGGACCAAGTGAATGAGGTGCTGAAAGTGAGCATCATCAGGAGTGAGAGGAACAGTAGAGCATATGGGAAAAGTGCATGGATGTGGCTGCAGCCAGGGAAGTGGGCAAGGACAGGGATAAGTAGAGAGGTTTGATTACTGCTCGTGCACACCTCAAACAGAAAACAGGTGTGAATGTTACTGTACTGAATATAATTGTTGAATTTCTATAGTCTCTTTATAATAGATCATAAGCAAAGCAACTTACTGTGATGATTTCTTCTGTATCACCTGCATCATGATAAGATGACACTCCAGGAGCCATGAGTCCCAAAACAAACAGACCACAACTTCCAATGTATCGCAGGACAAACAATGCAAACTCAAGTTTCTGTGTGACCCTGGAGTAAAACAGAATGGATACATGAAGATAAAAGCACAACAAAACAGGCCATGATTTCAAAAGGGTAATGTGAAAACTCACGAGTCAAAATGAAACCACCACTGCTGACTGTGGATGCTAATGAAGGAGAGATTCTCCTTGATGAATGCCAATGACCAAAATATGAGAAGAACAACACCATGACCTTTGGTAGGGATCATTGGCAGCATCTTACGATGCTCAATCAACAGGAAGTATAATGAGAGAGGCCAGGTAACTGAAGCACTGCAGAGATCCAGGATTTCATACCCATACAGAGGTGTCCCATCCCCAAAAGTCACCACCAAAATGCGTGCAATGATTAACAAGGGCATTAACACAGAGAAGCATACTTGTATAGCAAAAAGTCTAGATCTGGATCGCAGGGAAGGATGAACACTTGTCCCATATCATTGGTAAAAGTATGTTTGGACACTGCCAAACAATAGAATGAGTGTTGTTGAAATAATTCCAAAAACTGTGTCATTCAAGCAATGGGAAATGCCATGATTCACCCAAAAATCACTTAGGGTGGCATTTAATGGGCAATATGTTATGTGCCCCTTCGATCCCATAGATATATTCTTCTGATGCCTTCTTCAAGGAAACTGATTGGCCTTGGTTATGACTATCTGTTGGAAAGAAGCACAGGACCAGAGAACCAGAACCAGAAAGCAGACGTACATACACACATAAACTCAGACATGCACACAAACATAGATAAGCAGGTCATTGCATGTGCCTAATTTCCATTCCATAGAAAGGAGGCATGATGAAAAAAATGTACATGCTTTTGGAACCAGTTGGTTTTATTTTGCTCCATCTGAGATCCCCATGTAATCCAACCATGCAAAGGTGAAAAGTCAATTTCAAGATGTTCATAATGCCATATCACATTGCAATGTTACATGGGTTTTATTGATCCACCACAGCTCCATATGTGGAGATGAAAGCAACAATTATGTAGGGAAAATATGTAAACATTGCCATGTGATAGGCATAGTTTCTTTTAGCTAATTTATTAGAGGTAAGGGTTCTATGTATAAGACCTGACACCATTCCCACTTGATGGAACAAATGGAGATACCTTTGGTCCATTGTACAGGATGTGCCAAAAAAAAAGTTAAACCTTATTTCATTTGATTGCTACATCCATACAAATTGAGACAAACTCATGCAATTGGGAAGCTCATTAGTACCTCTCATTCCTGACCTATTAAATACAATTTCAAATAAATCCAATATATTTTTCTTGTATAATAATTTTTTCACAGCACAAGGTACAAAAGTTGCAGCTGTGCATGCATTTTAATTTAACACATTCACTGTCATGTCCAACTGTAAAAATAAATAAATGTTTAAAAGTGTGCTTTTTGAAACATCAAAAATAAATTTCTGGTTGAGTTTTGAGTGAAAATCGATATCCACATCACTTCTTCTGTGTCTCCTTTGTGTTTCCCAAATGTTTTGCAGCATTTGAGCTACACCTGTTGAAGAATTTAAAGAAATTGAGAACTATTTCAAAGGAGGCATGAATATGTAGTATGCTGTCTTTGGCAGTGAATGTGTTAACATGCAACAATACACATCCTCAACTTACTTATATTTTTTTAATAAGAGTTCCTCAAAGTCTTAGATGAACAACCATAACATTTTTTTAAAAACTCTTTCTCTGGTGTTGGCATAATATTACGTCAACATCCTCGAAGTGTCTGGATATCCCTGCCAGGGAAAGAGTTAATATTGAAATTACTGTTAAATATCTAAAGTGAAGTTCAATGTGCTTTGACTACTCTTGTCAACAAAGCCAGCATGATCTATCCAAACCACTTACTTGAAGGATGTTCATCTTAGCATGGGAAAGAAAATCATGCTGCACAACTGTGATTTTCAACCTCACTACAAGAAATTACTAAGTAAAAACCATTTTTTGCTTTTCCTTGATATGAAGTACATTCAATTAAAGAAGAGTGGGGTGTTGATGATCCTCCAAATTGCATGAGCACATACACATGTAGCAATTAAATTTTGTGACCTTTTTTTGCCCATCCAATAGAAGCAAATAATTCTTAGTGTTATGCCATTATTATTATCACAGTGAAGGCAGTGGTGGTGTACTATCTGGTACTCCGAGAAATTACAGTCAATTACAGTCAAGTAAATTTTTTCTGTGCAAATATTTTTGCTCAGACTCTTTGTGGAATGCAAAGTTGACAATAAAAGTTAATTTCAAACAATTAAGGTACAATTATATTTCACAACAGAGGCTAAGAACAAAATGGCTCTGGTTTCACCTTAAACCTGGGAAACCATTACTATTAAGCATATCCATGTACAAACAAGAAACTAACAATAACACTCCATTAATTCAGGCAAATGCAAGACACCCTCCACCAGTGATCCCCAAGAGAATCCTGGTCTCATTTTGCAGACTCTATAAAGCATTCCATATAAAATCAATATCTCAGGTAGGCCTCATTCAGGTTCATTCAGCATTCCACATGAAAGTGAACCCCATTATGACTAAGCTGGGTGGGATACAAAATTGAGACAGCTCATCATATCTGCAGCAATGACAACAATCAGAATCTGTTTAAAACAATGAAATTGTTCACATTTCTAATACCTAGGGGAATGGATATCAGTCATAGTTCAGGTTCTGAATGATGTCACACAGTGAATTTACATATCTTTGAACTGCAGTAGCATGGACAATACCAAACTCTATGAAGCACCTAGGATCCCAGATGACACTAGGGAATTCTCACAGAGTGAACACACATGCATTAGCACAACAGTGAATGGTACAGAACCAAAGGTCAAAATTTTGAGATAATTTCCTCATTTCCATTTAAGACTTGAAATAATGACAGTGATATTTTTGGTTTGGTATGTCAGAAACAAAAAGAATCATATCTTAACACTTTGACTGCTGAGGATTTAAATCCCCAGCCAACCTCTCCTTGCTGTAAACAGCAGTGGAAGTTCACTGTACCAAAAATTTCACATGGCATGGACAGCACTCAAAGTGTTGATAATATTAATAGGGTTTTGAGCACCAGTCTAAGTGCTGAAATGTAGCTAGGAATTCTTTACCAGCACGGTTTGCTGAGGGGGGGAAGTAAGTAGTAATTATTATTCACTCTCCAAATTTATTTCATTTCTATATCCCATTGTGTCACATTGGCACCACATGCCATAGGTTTGCCATCACTGACTTAATGCATGACAGCAGTCATGGAGCATCCCATAAATACTTCCCAATTAGCATTTTCACTGTTTTGCTGACTTCCACATTATTCCTGAGAGCCAATCCAAGATGTGCTACACTAGTCAACTAATAGAGGCATGTTTGTAAAATCCTATTTGGACTTATATGATGATTACTTTCAGGAAGGTTCTAGGGGACAATGAAGTTCTGATGCTTTTTTTAATAGACAAAGGACCCTGCCCTCATTGAAAATTGAATGGTTCTTAAATGTTATCAGTGCTTGTCAGATATCCTGCATGTAGGGACAAGTTAAATCATTTGAGAGTCCATCATGCAATAATTACATAGATGTATCTCTCCTCTCCTTTTCCTTTAACCTAATGCACTCTGAAGGCAAAAAATATTTCCTTTAATTTCTCAAGTTTTAATTGTGTTATGTGACAACACTATTGTGAAGAAGCTTGCTTGGCATTTTCACCCCAATTGGCTGGAAATGTACAATTTTTCATGGAAAATGCAATGTAAACATATGCAGTATTTTCAATAAATTCCTCTTGCTCTTGAGCATACCTTAGAAACTATTTCTGTTATGATGTAAATGTCCAGGCTTCCCTGGACCCAGAGGCATGATGATCGTAAAGATGGCTATAGATGGACAGAGACCAGGAAAGCAACTTCATGTCTGCCTTTTTGTCCATGTTTCAAGCATCCACTTTAATGTTTGTTTCAAAGGGCACCACAAAAAGTCTTTTTTTCTCAAAGGATCTCACGGAATGTGGCACTCTGTATTCTCTCACGACGCGTCACACGGGCCACCCGCCGTAAGAACCTCACTTTGGCAGCTTGTATCTGCGACCCGATTTGTTCGGTCATTCACGCAGTTCGTGACCATAGGTGAGGGTGGGAAGATGAACACTCATAAATACCGAAAATTTTGCATCCTAGGAAATTTCAGGTTTGGCAACCGCAGCCCTCCAGAGTTCCCGTAAAACTGGATTTCTGGACTGAAGCAGAGAGTAATTCCGCTTTGGCAGCCAAGACCTTCCTGTTTCAGTCTTTCACGACCCAGAGAGTGTGTTGCTCACTTTGTCGGAACCTTCGAACAGTTTGTCAAAACACCTAGTTATCGGTGTGGGAGTCGTGTTTCACTTCTTCACCGAATTTCTTCCATGCCTCTCGTTTTGCTTCGGCTACAGCTCGAGCAGCAGTTCATCACGCCTCTCTGTAAAACGTCCGCGAAGAGTCCAACCTACTGGACATACATGCTCTATAGACTGTCTTCTTGACCGCAACGACCAGCCTTACTTCTGATGTTCACCAGGGAATCCGTTGGGTGTTATCAGGTGTCACTCCGATTCGCTTTTCACCACGTACTTTTGCTGCTGCTGCAAAAACGCCAGATGGAAGTTGATCCCATTCGGTGTTTACTGAATATAAAAAATTTGGGGAGGTAGTTGGGAATAACTTCCGCCGATCGCCCTTACCAACTCATAGCGAGTTTTCTCATGGCTTCGGGCTTCCCATCTCACCCGTTTTGCAATGCATGCGGCTTTCACCCCGTTCTGAGGCTCGCCCATATCTGGAGTTTGCTAACCACTAGATGGTGGTCGGTGCTTAGTTCGACCCTCTGCTTTACCCTCGTATCCGTTACCAGGTACCACAAGTCAGCCGGAACGATCACCTAGTCAATCGGCGACAGCTGGCACACAGTACCAATCTGACTGTCTGATCCCCAATGCCAGGTGTACTTGTGGATGTCCTAGTGTTGGGAGATGTTGGTAACGGTCAGTCCATTGACAGCACAAAAGTCGAGCAAATACCTGCCATTCCCATTCAGCAACGTCCTATAGTCCCACTCAACGTAGCTTCATCGTTTCCAACTCGGGCATTGAAGCCCCTCATGAAGAAGGCGAGGTCGCCGTTTGGGATCCCTTCAAGGGCTCCATCCACCTCTTCAAGGAACGTGTCGTAGTCTGACTCGCTGTTCGATCCGTAAGCCTGAATGGCCTGAATTGTTCGAATCTGAGGCGTATCAGAGCAATTCGCTCGCCGGTCGGTTTGGTTGATATGCAGATGTTAACCAAAACTAGGTTGCTTTGGCAACTGCAGACATCTGGAACGAAGAAAAATATGTGCATTTGCACTTACGTTTCAATCTTGGAGGCATATGGAAAAACACGAAGGCACTACCTGTACTTGCTTAAATATGATTCAGATATAACAGGGCTTCAGAACAGAAAAACTCCCTGAAATAGAAGATGGAACATTAACTGCTGGGTGCAGAAGAGAAAACCAGAACAGACTTGAATTGCCAAATCTAAAAACTGAAGTATTTTCATTCTGTTCCCTTCCAAAAGCCATAACCCTATCTTCCTTCCAACATGAATAAAGAATATTATTATTTTTTAGTTCTCCTCAGAATTAATTTTGCTCCACGCTGTGCTTCCCTACATGAAGGATCCTGGCTAAGACCATGATTTTTTGTAACTTGCCCCACTTCTGATATCCTAGGAATTGATATAAAACTTGAAGTCTCTCCCATGAGTCATTCAATATGCCACAATAGCAGCAGCGATGTCCTGACAGACTAGCACAGGTGGGATTTTCCATGGAATCTTCTTGGTTCATGTGTGGAATGGTACCCCCTAACGACATTCCATCAATCCACCTACTAAGCCCAATCTCTCTGTTGCACTTCAACATTCACATGGAATGACTTCATTTGGACAGGACAACCTCATTAGATAAAAATAGGTCAAATTTGAAGGTGAAGGTCCAGATTCCTTGACAATGATGGAGATGGAGCTAATCCCCCTTGTGAGACACATTTAAAACTCTTTCAACCCAGTAATTGGGGCATTTGGGCCAGGTCATTATCTGATCACATGACATGCATTTTTTTGTGCTTTATCATCACAAATTTGCAATTGAAATTCTAATTTTCCCATTCCCAGTCTTGAAGTTAAGTCAATGCCAGACATGGTGTAACAACTTCCCATGATTTAAGGAACCCACTGATAAATTGCTCAACCATATGTTCTGACATGACCAGAAGACAATTAAAATCAAAATTTTTAGCATGGATATACCACTTTATCAAATTTCATTGTTGAATTATAATTTAAGAGATTTTTTTCAAACATGCTTAGTGAAACCAATCTCTCTGCTCTTGCTTTTATGTGGTACAGGAAGGAAAGCAGTGCTTGGGAATTTTGGGAAATACTTTATGTCAAGTTTTAACGTTGTTTTTAAATATGAAAGCTAGCAGAATGGAACAGAAAGGAATTGATTTGACTTTTTATTACTGGAAATGAAATGGAAAAAATGCAACATCATGAAACAGAACAAATCAAAACACATAGTGACCAAGGTGAACAGAATGAAACATCGAACAAATAAAATTCAGTTCTGAAGCCCTCAAGGCAAGGAAATGCCCCATTGGAAAGTGTTTAACACATTGACTGCCACAGCAATATTGGCCTAGTGACTTTCATACTCAGTGAGGTGCACCAGTGCATCTCATGGTGGTCAATGTGTTAAAGTATTAAGGGAGTTGATGCCAAAAAAGGGTATGGCCCTCCTTTCATCAACAACCTATTAAGAGTCTGTGCTTGCTTCTTGTCAAGGCACAGGAGATAGAACCTTGCTCAACTTTAAGTGAGTCAAAGGCAAATTTGATCTTTGAGGTATCATGAAATACAGCCTTCTAAGGGGAAATTCAAACAAAAATAAACCATAAGAAACCACCTTGCAAGTGAATTATTCTCTACCTATTCAAACTTGCTGGGGTAATTTGTATTGAACTTGAGAGGTTGTTTTACCTTATTTACTGAAATGCCCTCATAGCTGGTACAGATTGGAAGTGTGTTCAAGCAGTAAGTGGGAAGGTCTATTTATGTGACATCTTGGAGGTATGGCAGTCTGGAATAAAAACTAAAAAAAAAAACAGCAAATAATCATTAACTGATAAATCTGTTGAGGGTATTCAAATGTGGAAGATTAGCCACAAAATTTGTTAAGCAGGGGAGGAATGGGTGGGAGAGGAGGAGCTGGAACCCCCCCATACCACTTTGGGTTGTTTCCCTGCTATCACACTATGAGACTATAACTGCTAGGGGGGAGGATGCAGGCAAGGAAAAAACGGCAACAAAAAATATAGCATCAGTGAGGACCAGAGGACTGGAGAAAAGATGCACATGGTCTGGATCTAGACTGTAGTTCACAGGTTGGGTGACCTGTCCACTTTGGATTTTTCAGCTCTATGATCCTTACTCTGTCAATCCACCATGCTATTAATGATGCCCACTCATAAGCTTTCTTAACACATTCACACCCAGTGACTGCAGAACACTATGGGTTTAAAAACATAATATTACAGTTCCTTGCGTCAATGTGTTAACAAGTTGGCTGCCATATGTATCATCAATACATCCAACCTGACAGCCATTTGCATTTGCAATGGGGCACATATCACCAGTGATTCAGTTTTCTGAAAGTATCCAAATAGTTATAAGCATGCATAGCATTCTTGGTCATGATTGTGCAAATCTAAAGCTACCACAGCTTCGGAAAACCTTGGTACAGCCAGCAATTACTGCAAAAAAGCACATAGTAGAAAAAAAATCAAGGGGTAATACAATTAAGATGCCCCAAAAACCATACAGTAGGAGTGTAGATATGGCCAATCAAAGGTACTAATAGCCTCACATCACATAATGCTCAAGTGCCCATGTGTCAGGCAAGAAAGCATATTTGTGGCAAATTTAACACATAGGTGAGAAATGCTGTAAGCATCAGCAGAAAATTGCACGGCAGAATATAGAGCATAATTTCTTTGGAATAAGATTTCAAGAAGTGTGAAGCAAAGGACAATGCTTTTGATACACACATAGGAGTATATAGTTCTTGTTGAAACCCCTCATAATACCATGACCACATTTAAAAACTCAATATGTAACAGACTAAGTAGGAGAACGACTGTGATCACAGCGACTTTTTTTGGGCTTCTACAACCCAGTCCACACCATCACCAGCAATCCTGGCTTGAGTATAACAATCTAAAATACATGCAAGAGATGGCAAACTGGTGGTTCCCATTGCAATAGGAGACATGACTATGTCATGGGATCAGATGACTCAGCAATGTGTTTTTGCTGCTGCTGCTTCCACATGGAGGCATAGAGACCACCTTGGCTTAGCAACTCCTCATGCCTTTAAGAACAAGAATCTTCAAGAAGAATTTTGTTCTCACAAATATGGTTTTAATGATAAGTGAAGGACTCACCTTCCACGCTCCACAATCTGTCCATCCTCCAGGACAAGAATCTGATCAGCATGTATGATGGTTGACAAGCGATGAGCAACAATGATGGTAGTCCGATTTGCACACAAGTGATCCAGTGCACCCTATAAAATCAAACCCAGGTTCTCCTGAATAATCAATCAGATTATTTAAGCTATGAGGGAGCTTTTCTTCTCAAGCTTCATCCAATAAAAGTTGGCAGTAGGGTTTCATCCTTTTTAATGTATGTATTAGTAGTGCTTGGAATTAAGATGAGTTGAGTGGATAAAACATATGAAACTATGGAAAGTTACATGACACCATTTGGCAAAGACTTGCTCTAAGATTAAATATTGGCACATAAATTGACTGAATTGGCATAGTCATTTGAAAATGCAAAACAGTAAAGTAAGAAAAATGTGACAGGTAGAATGAAAAGTCATGTATGCAGAGGAAGCTCAAAGGGAAAAAGCGATTTCCCAGATGCTCATCTGTTTCAGAAGTTCCTATTAGCCTCCTCTCCTGTGCAATTGGATACAATCACCTTCTCTTCTCAAAAGACTGAGCATGGGAAGACATTATATACTACATGACTTAGACATGAAAGATGTGACCTGGATGTTCCTCTCAGATTGAGTGTCAAGGGCAGAGGTGGCCTCATCGAGGAAGATGAATGTTGGGGCCTTAAGGATCATACGTGCAATTGCCACTCGCTGCTTCTCTCCTCCACTCAACTTCAATCCCCTCTCTCCAACCTTCATACAGCAAAGTCAGTAATTTACTCCCAGGTTTGGACAAACAGGCTATATCCTTTTTTGGCCAAGAATTCTCTTGATTGTAATCCAATATAACATGTTAAGGATGCGAAAGAAAGAATATTGCAAGGTTGCAACTTTCCACATTTTATGAATTGTTTAAGGCTGTTCATAATGTCTGGAATGCTCTCACTATTGACAAATGGTGAGAGTATTCCAAGCAAAACAACTTCTGAAATTAAACATCAATTAAATAACCATAAGGCTTTGCAGATTGTAGTCAGTAAATAGTGTGATAGTGAGGTAGCCAAGTTAAGGCATCAAATAGCTGTCATGCTTCATGCTTCTTATCCCATCTGGCTGTTTCTTTATACTGGTGGCATTTTTCAACATAGCAGTACAGGTGAAAACAATGCATAATACTCAGATTGGAGGTGATAGTCGAACTGTTATAGATTCTCCTAGAAAGTTTCTTCATAACAACAAATCAATCAAATTATTTGTACTACCTTTTACAATGTGCAATCAAGAGTCAAGAGAGTTAGTGATATCAAGAGGCGATTTCGCCCATTTTGATATCACGTGTCAAGGTTGAGCGTTCCTTAATTTTAGGGTAGGCCTAACCCTCTTAAAGCTATATATTTTTGTATTTTTGTTTTTGTTTTGTACCTCCTTAATCATTCTTGTGGCCCTCCTCTGTACTCCCTCGAGCGCCAATGTTACTTCCATGGTGCACCTCAAATGGTGAGTGTATATCTACCAGGACAGAAATGACATTTGGCTTGCAGTGCCCATTTTAACCCTTTCCAAATGAATTTCTTTGATCATCTATCTGAATTGTTGGGGTATACTCAACATAGAAATGCAAAGGGTTCAAGATGATACAAATTCATTTGAAAATCACTTTACATGCAATGCATAGACAAACTTACTACAGTCTCATACTGATCCGGAAAGGTGAGGATGCGTCCATGGATGTCTGCTCCCTTGGCAGCAGCCTCAACTTCTTCATCAGTGGCTGATGGCTTCCCATATCGGATGTTGTAGCCGATGGTGTCATTGAAGAGAACAGTATCTTGGGGAACAACCCCAATAGCCTGACGGAGGGATCTTTGTGTCACCTTCCTCACATCCTGGCCATCAAACTGGATCTTGCCTTCTTGGACATCATAAAAGCGGTACAGTAAGCGAATGATTGTTGATTTTCCACTTCCTGATGGCCCAACCTGTTCATAAAGTAAGAAACAAGCCATGAACCCACCTCTGTACGATATTTTTCCAAACATCATAAATTGTGTTTACCAATGCAACTGTTTCTCCAGGGCCAACAGAAAAGGTGATGCCACGAAGAATGGATTTTTCAGGTTGGTATTGGAAGAATATGTTCTCAAAATGGATGGATCCATGCTTTAGTACCAGTTCCTTAGCATCAGGGGCATCTTGAACCTCTTGCTGCTCTGACAGTAGGTCAAACATATTCTCCATGTCGATGAAAGACTGCTGGATCATTCTATGATACCAGTATATGAAATTGGCATTTAGGCTTTTGGTATGTCCATCACAGTCCACAAGAGCAATGCATTTGATTGAACTGACCTGTAGTAGGTGCCAAAGAAGTTAAGAGGAGCATACAACTGAAGTATGTATGCTGAGAACAGGGCAAAGTCACCAACGGTAAGATTTTGTGCTGAAACTACCATGTGAGCACAGAGCAGGCATCCTGCAAGCAGCCCAGCATTTATAACAAAATTCTGACTCAGATTCAAAAGGTTCAGGGATGCATTGGACTTCCACTCCTCCCACTGTGAATGCATGCAATGAATCAAAAGAACACTTGCATTCACCCATTGATAAATTATAGAATAAAAGGCATGCATAACAAGGGCCAGGTAGAAGCAATGATTCAACATCAGTGAATGCAACCTGATAAGTGCGGATAGCTGTGCGATAACGATCCACTTCATACTCCTCGCCATTATAATACTTTACAGTCTCAAAGTTGAGAATGGAATCAACAGCTCTGGCCTGGGCTTTGTTGTCAGCATCATTCATCAATCGCCTGAACTTGGTTCTCCACTCTGTCACCCCAATTGTCACCGCTTTTTTGAGAGATCATTCAAATTCATCAAATTGGAATAACCTACAGCAAAGAAATTGTAAGATCAAAGAGAGAGAATTTAGAAACCTAAGTAGAGTCCCATGGTGAGTAAGACTATGAGGCCAAACCAAGCATTGAAGGAAGAGGTGAAATAAACAATGGCAACAACAATGTCAGCCACAGTAGGGAGAATGTTGAAGATTATGTAAGATAAAAGGGACGTGATACTAGTTGTCCCACGATCCACAACCCTTAGAACTTCCCCAGTCTTGCGACCCAAGTGCCAACGAAGGCTGAGGTTGTGAATATGCTCAAACAACTGCACCTGTATTACAAAAAATTCAAAATTTGAGAATACAGAACATAACTACATTTTTGAATTTGGTAACAAAACAAATACACTTTGAGAGACTTGAAGTTCACTTGACCTACCTTTGCCTCTCGAGAAGTGTATTGTTCAACTTTTATCCAAAGGAAACCCCTGAGATTGTTCAGAAGTCCAATTCCTCCAGTTCCACCTTGGAGAAACTTGAGACCACAATAGACAAGCACATAATCCCATCTGAATTCAAGTTTCCCATCCACTGGATAAGACAGACTATTGACTGGAAGGAAATGAAATCATTATTCTAAAATTGATGACATGGCATCTGGGCACAATAGCAGGAAATGGACAAGAAAAAAATATAAAGAAGCTCACTGATGAGTTTGTTATAGATGGGTATGAAGAGGTTGCAGACACGTCCAAGAGCAAGGAGGATTAGGCAGAAGAGGACAATAAGTTGCAGTAGACAATCATTCTTGGGCCACAGGTAAGGGAACAAGATTCGAAGACGACTCAACAAGGACTTTTGTCTCCCTTGCACAGGCTAATTATGAGATTGAAACATGCAGATGTTACATCATAGCTATAGAACTAACAATTTTAGATTTAATTTGAATTTTTTGCCAGATAAAAGACAGATGTCAGTTGCAATGGTTGGAAGCAAACTAAGACATTGCAATGACACCTACTATGTCTGGTAATGATTCACCCAGAAAATGAAAATTTTTGAACATGGACAAAAGACCTGAAAGGGTAATGTTATTATTTTAATAAAGTTAAAATTATTATTATTATTATTATTATTTTTTTTTTGGGGGGGGGGATGGATAGATAGGGTATGCTGCATATGCAAGTGTGATGAAGGCAGTGTTGAGAGGCACGACTGAATGTCCTGGGTTCGGTGGTGTAATGGTAGCACACCTGACCGGCAATCAGGAGGTCTGGGTTCAATTCCTGGCCATCCCCTGGCTTTCTTTCGTCCTCTCTCGTCCATCCAACCTCCCTACCTTCAGTTATTCACGTGACACAAGTCTAGTAAATGTTTACATAAAGCAAGAGAGTGAGAGAGGAAGAGATGCTTCCTCAGCTCAGGCATTGTATTGAAATGCCAGCATCCCCCAAGCAAAAGGGTCACCTATTTCTTGTCAAATATTTGACTTGAGGGATGGCTCACTAGTGACAACGATTTTTGACTGACAAAGTAACTTTAGAAATCAACACTGTCTGTGTTGGCTACATTTCCAGGTAAATATATTGGTCTGTTGCATACAATAAGAGAGAATCTCCCTAGCCAGCACCTAGGTCACCTTTCATGCAAAATACCTAGATTCAGGAGTGTCTTTCAGGTGTGGAAGTGGGAAGTTGTATTCACTTTTCACTGAAACCAGCTTAGCCTTTTTTAAAATTATATTTCATTCAAAGCAATCCTATCAAGCAATCCACATGAGTAAAATGAAGACCATGCAGGGAGAGCATTTCAAGATCGTAGCAATAATCAAAATTTAAAAATATATATTTGTATCTTGTTTTTATTCTCCACCTTTCCAGAATGAGAATGCTAAACTATAAAAGATTTAGAATTTTTTGATTGATTAGGTCTTTGCATTGGGATGATAAAGCTTCCACATCTCAGGCTAGCTGATGACAAAACTGAAATTTGCCAAGTTTTTCATGCCACTCTTTATGAGTTCAAGTGCATACAAGCAATTGTGTATGCAATCAATCTGTCTGGTTCTTTATAAAGCATCACAAATAACTTACTCTGATGATCTGTTCCATATCATCTGCCACAGGATAAGATGAGACTCCAGGAGCCATGAGTCCCAAAACAAAGAGACCACAACTTCCAATGTATCGCAGGACAAACAATGCAAACTCAATCTTCTGAGTCACTCTGGAGTCAAGAATGGAATGTAAGCATGAAGATAAAAGCACAATAATACAGACCAGGATTTCAAAAGGCTAATGAACAGACTCACGTGTCTAAATAAAACCACCACTCCAGGCTGTTGATGTTGATGAAGGAAAGATTCTCCTTGATGAATGCCAATGACCAAAATATGAGAACAACAACACCATGACCTTTGGTGGGGATCGTTGGCAGCATCTTACGACGCTCAATTAACAGGAGGTATAATGAGAGAGGCCAGGTGACTGAAGCACTGCAGATATCCAGGATTTCATACCCATACAGAGGTGTCCCATCCCCAAGAGTCACCACCAAAATTCGTGCAATGATTAACAAGGGCATTAACACAGAGAAGCATACTTGTACAGCATAGAGTCGAGATCTAGGTCGCAGGGAAGGATGAGCATATGTCCCATATCGTTTGTAAAAGTATGTTTGGACACTGCCAAACAATAGAATGAATGCTGTTGAGATGGTTCCAAAAACTGTATCAATCAGACAATGGGAAATGCCATGATTCACCCAAAAATCACTTAGGGTAACATTTAGTGGGCAATAGTTTATATGTCCTTGTGGCTCCATTGGACCAATTTTCTGATACCTCCTCTTATACGAATTGGCCTTGCCTCAAAATATCTGCAATAGATAATCAGAAGTGATCCATAGGTTGATGAGAGAACTTTGTTCCATTGATGGACTTCATATTGCTTTCAGATTCATAGGGTAGGATAGTAAGGCTCAGTGCACTCTGAAAAGATAAAGCATATCAATCCATTCCAAAACAAAGCAAGGAGACAAAACTAATACATTCTTCAGAGTCAAGCATGTGTTAACCCTTCAAACAGTTTTCATGAACACCATACATTCATCACTTAGGAGGTCAGGGCAAAACTCAATGCTTGAAGGGTTAACAATGCAGGCAGAATAGAAAGGCAAACTTTTCATCTGAGGGGGATAAAGTCACAATTGTCTGGCTTTCTGATAAGGTCATCCAGGGCAAGTATTATTAAGGAAAAGATGTTTCATTTTCAAATGAATAGAACACCTTTGTTATGGCAGATGCAATTTTGTGCACACCAACGTTATATTGTAAGCATCACCATTTGTGTCATCTTCACTCAATAATTGTTAAAACTATGCATTCACAGAATCTGCACCAGAAATGTCATTTTCATCAAATTTACCCCATTGGAGGGGTAAGAATGATCATGAATGGGGTAAATATGACCATCAGGCAAATGGTGCTAGGGGTTGTAAAAATAAAGACAGGATAAATGTCACATTTGAAGGTCAACTTTTTTTTTTTCTATGATCATCACATATACCCTACTTGCTTTCCCAATGGACATACAATATAAAATAAATGCAAAGAGGTGATTGGCATGACATTGGCTTGTCATGGAAGGAGTCACTAAAAAGGTTGCTTTCTAACAAGTTGATGTTATGAGATGTATAGTGGACTCCAATCATTGTAATAGCACTTAATGGAATACTATTGTGCAATTCTGATTTTTTAAGTGTAAGATGCATATGAAAAAAATTACACAAAGGAATGCAGTTAATTAAATAAGAAATAAACTTTTCTGAATGTTGAACAGAGAAAGCAATAAGGGAATGAAATAATTGAAAAGTTATCAATGGCCTGAAAGAAAGGAATGAGCATAAACTTTTAATTAATCTTGAAATGTGCACAAAAAATACAGTATGTTCATTGGGAAATACAAATAGAAAAAAAATTTTAAAAAGCACGTAAAAGGAGAAAATTGGGATAAAATACAATTGAAAGACATATGAGTGCAAAAAAATGCATAAATAATTTAGAAAATGACATGAAAAAAGAGCATTGTATTTGGGTAAGTGATATGGAATTGATAGATTTGGGATCTATACCATTTGAGAGGAAAATGCACACACTGTCCATTTACGTTTTGATAGTGGAAATTGGTGTCATTTGGTTTAAAAGGACAGACTGACTTTCTTATTAGATTCAATTATATGATGTGAGACGTGGAATTAATGGCAGGATCAAAATTAGTACTGGAAATGAGAACAGCTGGAAATTTCCTGCTAGAATACAGTTGAATTTCAGCTGCTTTGGTAGAGGGACTTCTGTCAAGAACAGCCAACAAACCATTTTCACCTGGGATATGGGAACCAATCTGGATCTGACTTTACTTTCCAGCTTATTTCCCAGCTGGAATGGGTCTGAATTTATAGCTATGGGCCAGTTGAAAATTATAGCTGTTCCCAGCTAGGATTTTAAGCTGAGAGGTTAAAAAGAATGTTCGGCCTAACGTTATGCAAAAATTTGAAGGATTGCTTGAAGCATTTTCCCGCTTCACGCAATCTTTCAAATCAAAGCTGCTTTCTACTTACAGATTGAGAGAAAACTCCTGAATTCATCTAAGCTTGCTTTAGAGCAGGTAGTGAACAAATACGCCCTACCCTTGTCCGAAAAAGGACCTAGGCCTAACTAAATCCAGTGCTGAAGAGGAGAGCGGTGAAATCACGTGGAGTTGAAGAGCGAAGACACATCAGCATGGCGCTTCGCAAATGAGCACGTGCTTTCTTGTTCGTTCATTTTCCCTCGCCACGTAAATAGTCTTCAGAAAATACATTTATGTTGCAGGAAGGTTTTTACCACCATTTCCGTGTCCCGGCCGCACGATGAAACCTCTGAGAATTGTCTCTTATAGACCTGTGTAATCTATGTGGGATTAAGAATGCAGCGATCAATGAGGAAGGTACAAGGGAAGTTGTATCGAGTAGCCCTTTGCCTGCTCTTTGTCGTCATCTCGGGAACTCTGTGTGAGTCCATTTATACATTGTTTTCAATTGACTAACACCTATGCACAAATGTCTGAGTAAAGTGAAGAATTGTTTAATCAAGTGAAAAACACTGAAGAACATCCAATACTGTGATGGTATGCAATTCACCAGCCTCTAATGCTTCTTTTTTTCCCCACAGACTACCGGCAGAAAGCATCAAAACCAGAGAAGAGGCTATATGATGCTTTGGAGAATAGCACAATGAAATCTCAGGATGAGGGCCCCATGAGACTTTGTGGGTTGCAGTCAAAATTTGAGGAAGAAGGTAGGCCTATAGCAGGGAAGAAGCTTAAATGCATTGAAAACTGTCTCTATCAGTTGAAGTCATTGCTATCTATTTCTGGTTTGGCAGGGCATTTAGGGGACAACCTTACACTATCTTCTGTATTCATCTTAGTAAGGCATGGAGAGAGGGGTCCATTCAATCCTATCCTCAACTCACGCAATACTCACTGTGGGATCTCTGCTGAAGAAGACAACTTGAAATTTAAAAAGTATAAGAGAGATATAAGTTTAGTGCCACTCAAGGACGAGTCATTCCACCAGTTCGACAGGACTCCTCCTGCTGGCAATTGGTGTCGACCAGGGCACTTGACTACACATGGAGCCTTTCAGCATTTAAGCCTGGGAAGAAGCCTGAGGGAAGCATATGTGACAGAGACAGGCATACCTCTTGCCATCACTGTATACTTGACTCATTTTGCTCGGACATTCCAAAGCGCCTTGGCTCTCTTATTTGGCTTACTTGGTGAAAATGTTAGTATTATGTCTTCTATCCCTCTTCAAGAAGTTCCCTCTATAGATTTCTGCTTTGACCACTGCAAGTGCCCCATAACAAAGCAACTTGAAGGAGATATTAACCAGCATTTAAAAAAATTATTGAAAAACCAAACAGGAATCATGCATTTAATTGGACAAATCTCCAGAATTCTAAGGGTGAGAAAGGCAATGCAGGATGCAAGTCCACTTACTGTCCGTGAAGCCCTTGTACCCTTTCTTTGTCATAGAGCAGCCTGGCCTTGCCTTTCCCAAGGAGAATGCATCCAGGCAACAAACCTCTCCAGTCTGCACACTTATATTGAATGGAGCTTGAATCAGGTTAACCAAGCTGCATATGAACTGAGAGGTTATGGCCTCATGAAACATGTTCTTCAAACTGCTCTCTCCAGGCCTCGTGAAGAAGCAGTTCAAGTTGTGATCTACTCTGGCCATGACTATACCGTTCGTAATATGCTCGCCTTCTTTGGCATCCCAGCAGAAACTCCTGCATTTGCTGCTCGTATTGTGTGGGAATTCTACCACTCATCTGGTACTGTCATAGGTTTCCGTGTGTTGTATGATGGGAAGGACATCACAAGGATGATTGCATGGTGTAATTCATCTGGGCATTCTGGAAATTTGTGTCCTATAGAGACTGCAGCGGCTTACCTTCAACATGGATTTGTTCAGCGATTAGGTGCAACATCATTTGCAGGGGCATGTAAAGCTTAGGTGGTTCATGCTGAATTAGTGAACTTTGCATTTACTGAGAATGGTATAAATATGCCATTATGAAAACTGTTCAGCCTGAAGAAAAAGTGTCATCATTATCATCTATCTGTGATAATTGCCTCTTGTGATCTGAATCACAGAAATTTATTTGCTCTGATAAATAAAGATAGCTCTTGACAAGACAATATATTCATTTTATTTATCAGTAACTCCCACAAAAAAGGCAATGACAAAGTGGAAAGCTACAGATGACTAGGAAGATCATGAATGAGAGTAGCACCTCATAGTCCTCACACTAAGCAGGAAAACTCTCTTAAAGAGAGTGAAGCTAAAAAAAAAAAGAAAATTTTGATATGCACTAGTCTTAGTCAACTCCCCTTTATAAGCTCCTCCTCAGCATCTCACTACAAGTCATTTCTAACTTAAGCTGCAGTAAAATAAAAAAAAACCTTGCCCCACCATAGACAAACCCAAAAAGAACACAATGACACTTGATATATATTCTGCTTTATATAATATAAAATATTACTAGTTACAGGGGCACAACCCAATCTGAAATGGCAATACAAGTATGACAAGAGAAAGTGGGATCATTTTGGTGTCATCATCCAAGCTTCCATAGCATAATACAAGTTTATTTCAGTTGCAGGATGACATCAGCTGTCCAACTGGTTCCTGGCTCACATGATGAGAGTAATATTTTAAGCAAAACCTCCTGTAGCTTTGTTTCAGTCTATCCATAACTATGCATGTAACATTGTGTAGTTACATGCATAGCAAGCTCTTGGATTGCTCCATTTATTATTTAAATCATCCCTATCAGTTGAAGGATTCCTTAGGACACCATTGAATTATTAGTACATTTTTGGCTTGACATTTCCAGGGATTTTCTTTGAAGAAAACTAAATTCATCTGTTCAGCATGCATCAGTGAATCATCTCTTGGTATTATTACAATTATAAATTAAAAGCATGAATATCCAAGATTGTAGACTACCAGCTTCCACTGCACCTCCAATGGGATAATAGAAGAGCCCATTCATTTCCCTCACAGCATTTTGTGTGAAATAGTTCATGAAAAGGCATTGAACAAGTGATAAAAGTTTTTTAGGAATAGACAGTTTCCTCAGCAATAAAAATTTTTTTCTTCCACTGGTCTTCCATAACGCATGCATGGTAATTTCTACAAAAGATATTGGGGTATTTCAGGTATTTACTCAACATCCTGCAATGCTGTGCAGTGTGCCTACTATGTTGTACACCTTCATCCATGAGTTGGCTTGGCTTGGGATTTCTTAGACCTTGTCAAAGCTATTATATCTGGGCCTAAGGAAACCTACTGGTTTTTAGGCATAAGTTATCTGCATTACAGTAATAATTATTTTATAAAAGCATCTTTCCCACCACTGCTCATGGGTCACCAGTTACTCTTGATGGTATAATATCACCTGCATGTCAAAAGTAACTCACTTGACAGAGGGCATTATATTAAAGCACCCTATTCCTATTTCAAGCGATGAGAGGCAAAAGAAAATTGTATGATTCTGCATAGGGTATGGAATTGTTTCTTAAGAGCATAAACTTCGTCTTTCTTCGTCTTGGGGAGACTTTGAGAAACAGAAAACCATGGGAGAAACACCCCACTACAAAAATGTAATAGCTACTTTCACTCACTGAGAATGGATGAATCCTGTATGAGGTGTGCATGTGGGATTGTCCCAGCAGAAAATTTAATGATGATCTAGCTCAAATGCCAAATTAGGTAGAGCAAAAATGTGCCTACAGTACTCCATCTCATTCTCTTCAGGTTGGCTGTGTCCAAGACTCATTTATATCCCTATACCTCCTTTCTATCAATGCTTCTATGCTAACTGCTCACCTCCTTTTATCACATATCCCATTAGAGTCATGAGAGTCTATTGATGGTACTGAAAAAATCATTCTAAACTTGAAGTTTAAATGGGAGTACTTCTGACCATGGTAAAAGTTCAGTTACATTGTAACTTCAAGGATTCGATGTCATACAGGAACTGAAAATTGAAAAAGAAACTCAGCAAGAAAGCCAGACCTGAGTTTTACACAGATAAAAAATATCAGTATTTATGTGGTGTAGCTTATGGCACTACACAAAATGACAAATGATTTCACTAGGAAAGTTTAATGACCCCTGCACCAAGGGCACATGAGAAAGTAAAGGAATTTGCATCACTGCCTCAGTGAGAATAGGCTTGAAATAAAATCACACAAGCAAAAATAATACTGGTATTAAATTGTAAAAGGCTTGACATCTGTGCATAAAAAAAAAGACTTGTTCACAAGGAATAGAGAGAAACATGATTTCATCATGCCAAAGCAATCAAGAACATAAAGCAAGTCTCGAAGAAGTTATATTTTCTAGAATGCATTGGTATAAGTTTGGGAACAATTCATGGTCACAAGACAAAATTCTACTATAACTATCCCGAAATATTGCATGAAATACTACAAAAATGGAAAAATTCAATCCCATACATTCCTTTTTCCACACAGAATTGGGTATTTCAAGCAACATTCATTCCCTTAGGAAATGGAAAGTATGTGAAAGCATGATTGAGTTATGAAATCCCCAAGTTAAAAATGCTTCAAGATCTATGACTACTTGCAGGAATACAATTTTATCTATAAAAAAAAAATTTAACATGACATCTCCTTTCATTTTACAATAAATCACTATCAAGGAACTAGTACTGATATAGAGTAACCCTCTGAGCTGATGATGGACTTAGACCAGAAATGTGGGGAATGCCACCTAATATCAGAAGTTTATCATTCACAAACCTCCACCTGAGCCTGTAAGCTTCAGGACATGCTTTCGATACATCAAATTCATCTGCTCCAAGAAGATGAATGTGAGGACTGTATGAGGACCAAGACGTGCATAATATGGGGTGAAGCCTTTCCATAGGGAAAAAATCCCCTCCTGTCGAATGACCTTACCCAACACATCCATGGTTCCCTTATATTCAGGCTTACCATCTATGTATCTCATGTTTTGAATCCTGAAAGAGGACCAAGAAAGGGTGCCAGATCAATGAAGGGAACAGAGATAATTTTATGGAAGTGAGAAAACAAACCTTGTCTTTGCAATATCCACAGGTAATGATGCAGCAGTTGTGATCAGACCACTGATCATGCTTGCTCCAAAGTGACACAAAATATTGTCTTGGAAATAACCTTAAAAAAAATAAACAGTCATGGATGGCATCATGTCAATACTCCAGAGTTTCATTATCTATTTTATTCAAGATCCTGAATTTTTGTTTCACCCTGCTTTTCATTAACATATATTTTGTTGTCAATTCTCATTCACAAAAAGATGGGTATACTAACCAGTGCCAAGAAGTATCTGCTTTGCCTGAGAATAAGATGCAAGTTGAGCAGCATTGACCACCATAGCCCTCCCTATTGTTGGCAAGGCTCCTCTCCAAAGGGTCAGTACCCCTTCTTCTCTAGTTATTCTGAAGAGGGCATCAAAGACATTCTTGTAATTTCGTCTCTCATTGAAGGGTAGACGCCCATCTGCACACATTCTGATCAAGGCCACTTCAGCTGGTGTCCCAACAAAAGCACCCACTGCACCAGCTGCCATACCCATGCCAGCCTTTCCGGCAAATCCAGGTGGCTTCCCTTGGCTGCATAATTTTAAATTGCATACTGCAGGTGAAGCAATTCCAGATGGGTCATAATCCTAAAGGATCAGCAATCCAACCACTTACATAGAAAATTTCTCAAACAGCCATGTATAGATACCAAGGCGGGTTGTCGTATAAGTAGCCTGTCTGAGGAGACCAGCAGAAAGTCCTGAATATATGCCAATGATTCCTTCGTTTCGTAGGATTGAGGCCACTGCATGCAAGCTTGTCTTGTGCTCTCGCGCTTTTCCTCCAACTCCACTCAATTGCATTCGATTCTTGACCAAATCCAATGGCTGGACAAAGAAAGTCGCTGCCATCCTGCAATTTAGAATTGTCTCTCACCTCTCAATGAGAGAATTTGACATCCCTTGAAGCATTATATAAGTAAAATTTTAAACTTGAGACTTAACACACAAGGTACAAGATACATCGGCAGCAGGCAAGTTATCTGTTTATCAAAGTCAGGAAAGGGAATACAAGTCAACCAAAGCTCCAGGGAGTAAGCTACTGACACATAATCTCTTATTGGAAGACAATTATATGTCCAGTCCTAGAGTCCATTATATGTTATGTTTTTGTTTGCCTCTATGGAGTTTGAAATATTGAGGCTATATTTATTATTCAGTTTTTTTATGCAGGGACAACAGTTATAGGTAGAAATTAAATTCTGCCAATATCTGATATGTCAATAAGCCAAAATATATTTTTTTTTTAAACATAATAATCGATATCTGAATAGTGGGCAGCATATCCACAATTGACAATTTACTTATGTCCCATTTCAAGTAAAAATAGTTTTGAATGCAAAGAAACTACAGGACTGTCTGATCTGATGAAGGCATCTAAGTCTTCTAGAGTGGCATGAGCTCAGGATATAGCCATGTCTTGTCTGGACCAAGGATATTCATCTTTTTTTAACCAAAGTTACAACTCTTTGCCTAATCTGACTAAACTTAATGCTTGGACTATGAAAGCCTCTGCATAAAAATTCTAAACCTTGATAATGATCATTAGGTCTATTACTGAAACCTTCAATATCACAAAGCCCATTATTAAAACCTAACAGGATACATGGATGAGTTACAATATCAGTGATTTCTTGAAGAGTTTCCAAATTGATTAATCAATTTAAAATCAATTAAAGGTTTTAACTGATTTGTGACAGGCATCATTAGATCTCCATATCTCCCTTATCTCGATTGGGTGATATTTTCTTTTTTGGATACAGGTTCCTATGAGACCAAGGACCTTTCTTGTTGAGGTGGTCACTGATGTAAGACTAGATAACAAACTCAATGAGCTTTTAACACATGTGAAGAAATGTGGCTCACAAATCAGTTCTCTCTTACCAGCCTCATGTAGTGTTTTTGCTTGACTTGGACACTCATGCATGGGCACTTCCCATTTAAATACACTGTAAAAAGGTGAGATGTTTTCAGATGGTATGACACCAGTCCCTGGGTTCTATTGAATAAATGAGTTCTGAAAGAAGCCTGATCACATTCATCAAAATGTCAAGGGAGATGCAATCAGATCCAAGTGATTTACCCACACTGAAAAGATTAAGTAAGTCACCCATTAGAAATATCAATGTTGTTGAACTTCATATATTTGTCTTAACAGAAGTACCAATTTCAGTAGCACACAGATTATGGGTTTATTCATGGACATGGACCTATATTAGATTAAAACTCACCCAGCAGATCCTCCAAAGACAAATTTGATGTATTTAGGCATTGTAGCTGTAGGTTCCTTGCTCCCACTTGAATTTGAAGCCATTTTCGTAGCTTTCAATCAGTGGCACAAGCCTCTTTATTCAATTCAAGACCTGCACAATGCATAGAAAGGGACAGCGCACAGATAATGAATTCATCGATCCTTTGTGGCTAGGTCTCGGCCTAGAAGTACAGAAATTTGCAATTGAATTAGTATGACATTTAACATGGGCTCCATGACTTTGTCATTTTATCAATGGAGATATACTCCAACCTCCTGGGATGCACCATAAAGTAGGCTGACCAGACGTCCCAATTTGAATTTTCCTTCCCATTCTGGTGTCCCGGCTTTTCTACATTGCAAGGACTAACACCCGGGCATTTTCTTGAAAATGTCCTGGTTTTTCTTGAAAAAAATCTTGTCACTCTACCATAAAGATAACAATATACAGTGCAAAAGGTGAGACGAATTCATTTGCAAATCCCTGCAATAGCAGTGGGGCTGAAGCCGGAAGAATATTCGGTAAAAACAGGTCCTTGATGAAGGTCACGACCGCCGCACTCAGCATAGAGCATGACGTCCTCGTGTTATTTGATAGTGGGTAGCCATTACTGAACGATGCCTTATATGATGTCTCGTGAATCTTTCTTGTCAAAGACAAAATGAGGTGTCAAAGTAAAGACTTTCCGTGGTAGGTTTCCTTTTTTCTCGATAAGTCTCCTCTAACAAATTTATAAATATCCATTGCGTTGCGAGTGAGTCAGCCGTCAATAAAACGATCACCGATCCGACAGCCGTGGCGAATTACCCCAGAAGCCTTGACGTGAAGCTGAAGCTAGCCCCCTCCCCAGCACCAAGAGCTGAAGCGGGTACCCGATCTCTCAGAGGCCCCGCCCATTTCCCAGACTATGCAACACCACGTCGCCGCGCTCTGTATTCCTTTACACTAAGCTGTGGTTTTCCGTGAAGAGATTGCCTTTAACTCACGAGGGCAGAGGCCTTGGCAGCAGACCCACTCGCAGGACTGAAAGGAAACTGAGTGGAAAGGGGGGACGGTGGGGAGGCGCCACGTATAACTAGTCTGGATAGTCGCAGGTGCGAACCGTGGGGCTTTTTGACGCCGTTTTTTTGGGGTCAGAAATAGGCCCCGCCCACAGGTCTCATACGACGCGTGGTCTCACTCATTCGCACAACGCCTCTGAGCGCTGACGAGGTAGGCATCATTCCTCCCCGAAGCTGAAGCTAGCTCCCTCCCCAGCACCAAGAGCTGAAGCGGGTACCCGATCTCTCAGAGGCCCCGCCCATTTCCCAGACTATGCAACACCACGTCGCCGCGCTCTGTATTCCTTTACACTAAGCTGCAGTACCTCCCTAACGGGATAGATGGCAGGTAACTCCCGTTAGCCTTGACGCTCTTGTTATCATGTTGCGAGTATTTGCCCTGCATTCCAGGACCAGGTAGTAACGACCAACAAGTTGAAACAACTTATGGCCTCTGCAGTCAGAAGAAAAAGATGATGAAGGGATTCACCCAAAAGGGGAGCAATTTCTGCAAGGGTAGAATTACGAACACAATAACGGCTTTGTGGGGCATGCAGGGCCGGATTAAGAAGTTGCGAGGCCCGGGGCAAGTGAATTCCTGTCCCCCCCCCCGCTACTTTACGCAAATACAATACTTTTTTTAACTTAACGCTTTTAATTTCATTCGGTGGCCCCCTGGAAGAGTGGGGCCCGGGGCAACTGCCCCCTTTGCCCCCCTCTTAATCCGGCCCTGGGGGCATGATCGCCAGTTTCGCCATCATCTGGATATGTGCGAGACTACAGTTGGCGGAGTACTCCTCAGAGGGAGAGATGTCCACTGCAGGGTCCAACGCGTGCCAAGGAGATATTGGGGCTGATAATTTTCTCTTTCTCTCTCTCATTATCCTCTCTCTTATTCAAAAATCTGAAAAGTTTTTAAGTGGAAGTTCCATGATTCGTTGAGAGTCATCATATGTGTTATGGATTCATCTGGAATGGGATGGTACTCTGAAGGTAATCAGGGGTGATTGAAATGACAGTGTAAACACATTTTCTGGAATAACAGTTTATTCATTTCTTCATGGACTAATATCAGCACGGTATTCTAAAGGAATACGTAAAACAAATGTTTAAAAAATGTCATGCTGTCCTGAATAAAGCAACTAATGGGGAAAAAATAATTAATAAGAAAAAGCAAAATATTGTTGCAAAAAAACGAATGGGTTGCTGCCAATACGTAACAATGAACGAAAAGAAAATAATTAGAAAAAATACAAATAATTATACAGGAGGAAAATCCATGCAGGAAAAAGGAGACTCCAAACCAAGAGAAAAAATAAATTAAAATCATAAACATATATACAAGGAAAAATATTAACAAACGAAAAAAAACCAACACTTGAAAAAAGAGTCATAACAAACGAAACGAAAATGATGAAAAAGATAATTAATTATACAGTTCCAAATCCCATGCATGGCAAAAAGGAGACCCCAAACAAAATCAGCAATGAATAAATAAAAACGGAAAAACGATTGCGAAGAAAGATCTATACTTAAAGGGAATAGAAAACTTAAAATAAAGCCAAAGGAAAGCCATAGGCTAGAACAGTCACTAGGCAGAAGCGGATTCCAGGAGGGGACGAGGTAGCAAAAATAAATATAAATAAAAATATGAATATCATATAAAGAAATTCATATTTTCATTTCACTTATTATTTGCTTTTTCATTTAAAGAATATTTATGTATATATAAATGCAATGCCTTAAAAAAAAAGGGAATGCCAAAAGTACTTCATCACATGGATCAACGTCAAAGGAATGAAAAAAATCTCAAAAAAGGAAAGAAATATTTCATGGCCTAGAACCAATTATTGCGCACCAAGTCAAGTCAAAAGTGAAGATCTACAGGGTATTTACTCTGGGAAGTTGTTCAAAGAAAAATGTGGGGTCGAAGTAAAAAAATGCAAAGAAGAAATTCTCTTGCGCAAACAAACACTTCGTGGGACAAATAGCGAAGTCTCGCTTCACAGAGATAGGTAGTATAACATATACTCTTCTGTAGGGGGAAAAAAAAAGTACTGCATGGTCTCGATACGAATATGCAGACAGTAAACAGTCCAAAATCGTATCGAAGTTTCGGAAGAGAGGTGGAATGTTCATCAGTTTCCGATATATAACTTCTCGAAGGTGTTTAACTTTTGCTTCGCGGCTGGTATTTCGTCTCTTTACGTCACAGGTTACTTTGTGAACGGTTACGTTTGGGAGGGGACCCTTCAGATCTAGAGGAAACGCACCTAACGGGAAAAGCAGTCAGGTGTTTACCAGTTGAGTGCAGCAGATTGGGAGCACTTGTGGAATAATGTTGATTGTCTGGGGGGAAGATACAAAAATGGATCGTATCAAGGCATCCTTCTAAATCCTTTGTAATTTTCATCGAACTTGAAATGGTTTCATGGAGGGTATTTGCTTCGGAATCTGCGGGTCCATGAAAGCGCGACATTTTCTATCATTGTAAATTTAAAAAAATTTCTCACGCGGCGATGCAAGAGAGTTCCATTCTGTCATTTCACTCACCTCAAGTGGGACATTAGAGGAAGTTATATGCAAATTGTCATCGTCCTTGAAATTGTTTCAAGGTGTGTATTTGTTCGGGAATCTGCGTGTCCAGGAAAGCGCGATATTTTCTATCATTGTAAATTTTAAAAAATTTTTCTCGCGGCGATGCAAGAGAGTTCCAATCTGTCATTTCGCTTATGTCTAGTGAATCATTAGAGGAAGTGATTTGGAAATTTTCATCGACCTTGAAATGGTTTCAAACAATGTATTTGTTCGAATACTGTCATGATGCACTGCCTTGAAAGTAAGGAAGGAGTCGCTTGTGTTGCAAGTGCCGTGTCGGAGTAACTGACCGTGCAGGACTCTATTTGGTGTCCGCGTGTTGGTGCCAGCTTCAGCCTAGCCTCCTTTACGTCTGCTTAGCTTTCACGAGATACAAAAATCCCTAGCTATGCTGTTTGACAAACAAAGCTGATGAAAACCCTGGAGCGTCAGGCCTAGGCTGATGATAACAAGTTCACAGATGGCCTTGGAATGTTTCTATGTAGTAAAGAGTTAGGCCGATTATTTTGGCTCACACTGATAGGCCTGTGCTAATGTTATTTTCTTGCCTATTGAATTCAAACTCACTTGTAAAAAGTTACTCCGGCCACACATCCTCCACGACTCTTGCAGTTCGGAGCTGAGCAATGCTTAGGCATGGTAACCACGTGGCTTGTTGGGTCTGATTGACCCCAAAAAGATGGCTTCTAAAGGTGCCGCGACAGCAGCGCCAGTTTCCGCCCCTTGGGAGGAGCGGAGATTTCCTTATCTATCAAGGCGCCAGCTCCCAGACTTATCGATCCGAGTCCGCATTTTCGTTTGGAGGTATTTGCTGCGTACGATCATGTCCAGGAAAGAGGGCCGGGAAGGCGTATGGTGGGGAAATGGGACAGCGAAAACCTCCAATCGTGTGAAACGATTCTAGAGAGAGCTGGAGAGCAGGAAATGGTTCACAGATGGGAGTAATTTTATGCTTGAGGGGTCGTCGCGGTTGATGTTCAGGCAATGTTACGGACGCCTGCTGCTTGACTGAAGAAACGACCCATGTAGCACATGACGTTGATTTGGTGTGGATTGAATGTATCACTGTTGAAGGTTTATGCCTCCATATTGAATCAACCGACTGTCACCGTTCATACACCCATTTCATTTCACCCGTTCATTTTTCATTTGACCTTTCAACGTTTGGGATATTGAAAATGAAATGCGGCGCTTCTAAAGGCTCTCGTGGTGGAACTCATCCCCTCTTGCATTGGATAGGAAAGAAACCAGCATCGATGGAAAACCTTAAAACTCGGAGGATTCTGCGTTATACTTTCATGGTGTTGTAACTGAAACTTGGCGGTCCACCATCGAGTTATATCGCGAAGTTCTGGGTCAGTGACTCCGCTGATAGCATGTTGGGCCTATGTGATACAGTTTAAACTCTGAACGAATCTGATATTTTCATCCCCGATAAAGACACCGTCGCTTTTGGGATGAGGCGTTGAATCACTGCTGACTAGGTGTGGA